CGGGCAAGATAGCTCCATCTTGCCCGCTCGGGTAGCCAATCACAGCGCAGGATTTGATTCATCTTGCCCGCTCACGGAGCTAGCCATATAATAACAAGCACTAACTAACGAAGTATATCTAACTACCTAGGCAACAAGCAAGCTACAATGTAAAAGAACAAACTTGAAGTAATAAAAGCTGCTCTAAACGGATGTCGTGTCTAGATTCTATCGCGGTGTAGTTTAAAAATCATTTAGGGATGTTGCAATTGCTTGTCGAAAATCGGATGGCAAGCTGTTATACAACTCGACTCCGCTGTACAAAAAACCTTTTCATTAAATAATCATTCTGGGGTTGTTAAAACTTAAACTTATTTATGTCATCCCTAATCTATGTTTCGTCAGGTCGTCGCCCAGCACAAAATTGGTACTCTGGAGTCATCCAAGGTTTTATCCATCGCTCATGGGTTAAAAGTCTTTGTTTGATGTAAGTTTGGGTGTTTAAACCTGAATCGAAAGCTGTTAAGAGATTAAACCCCCGGGGGGCAATCCCATATGAAAAGGACGGGAGTTTTCGTCGGAAATTTGAAAAAGAACCCATAGGAGGTCCCAAGATCCTGTTTTTTTTTTGCGGGTGGGGGGGGATAGGGGGCAGGGTGGCTGGAAATGTTTTTCACTGTACCGAAAAATCTCCCACTGTGAACCTGTTGAGGCTAAACACATTAAGAGGTACCAAAACCGCATGCTAAAACTGTACAACAAGCACTCCCGACCTTTTTATATGGGAGCCACCCCCCCCCCCGCCTCCGGAGTAAAATGCACAAATGGCGTAGTCGTACTTCTTTACTAAGTAATGAATGAATGAATTCTAGCCGCGCCCACAAATCGAGATTCTGGTTCTTTTCCCTTTTTGTGCACTGTGCATTTTAGTTAACAAATAGAAGATGGTGTTCAATGTTCGCATAGGTAATCATACGGTTTCGAGTTCAATTTGGAATTAATTTGCACGAGTGAGCTTTTTGAAAACCTCACAAGTGCAATTTAATTCCAGATTGAACGAGAAAAACCGTGTGATTACTTATTAATAATATAGACATGAAAAAATTCGCGTGAAGGAAGTGCTGGCCAACTTTACCCATTCGAGAAAACTTTTTTCAAAGTTTCCGCACAAAATTTCCGTCATCATTTTACGTGATATCATTGGCTTAGAAAATTTCCTATTGTCTGTCAGCCAATCATAATCCAGAATTACGATGTGTAATTTGCACTGGTGTTACACTTGAACTACATTGCTCTCAGCCAAACAGAATCGAGTAATTTTTTTTATGTATATTATTATCGTAGAAAAGAATGCGCGCTTGAGGTCAAGACAAAACTGAAGGTGGACGCACGAGCGGGACGCATTATTTTCTTAGAAAACATAGGAACACTATCTCCTATTTGGTTTAGAATGTAGTATGAAAAAGTCAAAATATTTACGTCCAAGAAGACGTGGTGAGCGCGCTGGCAAGACTCCGATATTGAGAATACATCAGCTATATTCCAAAAGTCACGTGACGATGCATCTTGAAAAGCTTGGCATAACCATCTCAAGTCAGTAGGTGTTCATAATCCTCCACCATCATCCTCAAACGCGTCAAAACATGGCGGTTATTGTGAATAAGGTCCGTTTTGTAAGGTCTATTAACCTGGCCCGCAAAATGGAGCACGTTAGCTACTCGAAAGTTGCGATCTTCCAGAGCTATTGTTTGCTACAAAAGATAAATTAGAAAGCAGAGAGACTCCCTACTTCCATAACTTTGCGGTTTATCAACTTTCCATAATTACCGCGAAATTCGGACCTTGTCGTCGCGTCTGCACTTTCGTAAGCACAACAAAATAAAAAGATCCACAAATTCAAACACCGACAAGATACTGCAACCCAAGAAAAGACCCATGTTTCCTCCAACGTCAGCTGTGAATCAACGAACAGGAAATGATGTTAGTAATAGGTAAAGGCAAAGTAAGTCTGAGTCGGTGAAGTGGTCCACACCGCCGGAGTTTATCCTAGTTTCTACCCAAAAAAGAACGAAGTGGTTAGGAGTATTTCTATTCCCCCTGGATGGTATTCTAGTCCGCTAGATGGTTACTGCCCCCCACCCGCCCAGCTAAAGGCTAGAGAGCTAGAGGGCTGTGATAGTTAATTGTCTTGCTCAAGAACACAACACAGTGTCCCGGGCCAGGGGTAAACCCGGACCGCTCGATCCGGAGTCCGGCGCACTAATTTTCTGGCAACCGCGCTCCCCGCAGTAAGTTTGCACCAAGAGGAAAGAAAAACTGAGGAAAAAGTGGAATTAGCCTGTCTGTATTAAACTCCATGATGGCAGTAGTAAATTGTTTTTTTATCAATAATAACGACGACAATAACAGCACCAAAGTTTTTGTTCCTTACAGCCAAAATCATAAATATCATAAGCAGGCTTCTCTTTCGTTACTTCAGTAATGACGCTTTGGTAGAATACGTTTAGCTGAAGTACATTCCTCCTGAAAAAGAGGACACCATTTTGATATTTTAGAGCAATCAAATCTAAAAAAATTAAATAAGTAAGTTGCCAATTCCCTCTAAAAGGCGCACCTACAGTGAATCATGGTAGTTGTATTCACCAAAACAAATATCCAGGCCAAGATGGTGAATACAACTACCATGATTCCCTACAGACGCATCTCATAGAAAGAATTGGGCATTATGCAGTTTTCCTAGACCACATAGGAAATACCAAGAGATTATCAAGGTACTTACCTTGATAATCTCTTGGAAACACTCAATAATTATATCTCGTGCTTTCACATTTCACTTACGTCGTATCCTCAGATTTGTTTTATGACAATTCTTCATTGCCTTAACTTATTTTTCAAAAAGAATCAAACTCGACGTACCTAAACATTGCTTCGATCTCACTCCACGTCTTGTCAGTGGCATTGAGAACTACGGATTCATTGATCATTCTTCTGACCAACATTGGCAGCAAATGTCTTGAAGGATAACTGGAGCTGGATAATTGGACTTCGTAATGAATAGTCTCGCATTTTATCGGACAGTCACATTCCAAACTTCCCAATAACTTGCCTATAGAAGTTTATATAACAAGTCAAATTACTCAAATTATTCTCACATTTTGATTGGGTCTTGCTTATAATCTATTGGAGGACAGACGTCTGGATGACGTCATCAGCAAATTTTTTCCTTCTTTATTTTATAAAAGAGATAGATTCCATGTCGCCCTGCGTCTGTTGACCTGTTCAGTAATAGATCACAGAAGACGTCAAAATGTGGTAAAAACGTCAGTGACACACTCGGCTATCGCCTCATGTGCCACGTTTTTGTTTTTACCACATTTTGACGTCATCTGTTATCCATTACTGAGCAGACGCACCGCAACATGGATTCTAATATTTGTTAAACGGATAATAATTTTCTCATTCTGTGAATGGTTCGTTTTCGTATTCAGTTACCGACCCAGTGCCCCGTAGGATTCCCAATTTCTCACAACCTGCTCCCCACAGTCAGGAGAGCAAACGGCAATTTACATTAAAAATAAATAAATTCCAGGCATTTGCGGGCTTATTTTCGCCAGGGATAAAAAGTTTCTTTTAAGTCGCTTGACCTCATTCAGGAATCGGGATGGGTAACTCCCATTTAGACCCCATTAAAATTCGTCTACGCTTAGAAGATAAATTCTGCATCGTTATCGAGTTCACCTGGACCCTGCAAGGAACAGAGATCTGAAAATATAAGAGTGCTAAGTAACTTACCGTTCACAGGAATGACACAATTCAAGAGTTCTTTGGGTCCACAATAACTCAGGTTTTTAGTTTCGTCTAGAAAAACAAAGGAACGCCACAATAGATTGGTAATTGAAGCACGCTATTTCGAACTTTCAGGGGAAACGAAAAACATTTCGAAATAGCGGGAGTTCAGAATAGCCAATAGTAAATGACTGAAGAGCAAACCCAAGGGAAATAGTTATGAGTTCAAAGTAACGGGGAATTGGAAATAACAGAGTCCGAATTACTGGGGTTCAACTGCATCAGTAAGTCACCTTAGCGAGGGGGTGCGAGGGGGGGGGGGGGGTTGGAGGATACAAAGTCTTATACAGGAAGGCTCCGCACCGAGGTCCGACCCCTTACCCTGTTGAATACCATTTTGACAGAAAATGAACCCCTTCCGTATACCTTTAATTAAAAAAAAGTACCCCTTGGTTTTCGGGCAGAGCCTCCCCGTATAGGCCATTTTAGGGACTACTCTCCCTTGGAGGTTGGGGGACATCGGGAGACTGGGAGTTCTGTCTGGCAACCTCGTTCCCAGGGTCTTTTCCCTGGCTTGGGGGTGGGGCCCCACCCCCAAAGCCAGGGAAAAGACCTTGGGAACGAGGTTGCTCTGTCTGGGACATTTCAAGTAAATAACACGCAATTCGTCTTCTCACCTAACTGAGCCATGCCCAAGGTTAGACAGTGACACCTGTCAATTATAGCTCTAGTCCAGCACTCTAAGAAGCATGCGCTGTGAGAATAGGTTTTGAAGCTCGCCAACTTTCTTTCGCCACACTTTGATTTATACGGAGGTCCAAGACGAATAGTCTGGAGATAATTTAAATAAAACCAACTGCATTATACTGCTATTCACGTCTTATTCTTTTAGCTTCACTCGTTTTTATAAGAATATTGTTTTTCCGGCCAAGGCTGAATATTTTTATTTTGCTACCAATTTTAGGCTGAAATATTCATATGAATATTCTTAGATTATAGCGTACGATATTTCTGTTTCCGAATGTATTTGGTGTAATTAATTAATTAAAGTAATTTGTAGCCAGCCTGCAGGCATTAAAGCCTGACATCACACACATAACGTCTTGCAGAAATGTTATTAACATCGAACACACGGCTCGTGCTGTCTTTTTGGCTAGTTTAGCCGTTTGGAGAAAGGAAGAATTTCATACGGTTTAGTTAAAAGCAAATAATTGTATTGTATTTCTATTTATTTACACATTTTTATCACACAAAATTACATTCTTTTCAAAATTTCAGCATCGAGTTTATTCTGAAAATAGTCTTAAAATTTCGCAAATTTTAGCATCGTCGACATTCCTATAAAATACAGTCTGATCTTATGAAAAGAGAGTGCATATACTTGAAAAGCACCTTAAAATGTGCATGTCGTTCATGTGGTCACAATTTTATAAGCAAGGACATTTTAACTACTCGAAATTATATAGCAACCCCCGGAAGTTAGAACTAGGAAAAAGTTGGTCAATCGAAAAGCAAACGGGCCGTTTAAAACTTGCGACTGTACCGTGTGCAACTAGAATTCAAACATGAAGGCTGTTTCAAAGGTTTCATTACCTTATGACGTTGTATTCGAACAGTGTTACTAAACCCCGGAGACACATCTATCCCATGATTCTCCATGTCAGGCCATTCACTTTGATCATGAACAACCATGCGAAACCCTGTCCCTTCGAACACGTTAAACGCTCCATAATACTGCTCGGGCTGTGCGTTGAGTTGAAGTAGAAGTCCCTCGCTCCTTCCCGCAGAGGACTGCTCAAGTAATGGGTAACCAGGCTTGCCAGAGTTAAACGTGTAGCAGAGACCACGCTGAAAGAAGAAAACAATAAGAACGAAGTAAATTAAAAAAAAATACCTATTTCGTTTGCTGCCAAACCGATTGTACAATTTGTGTTATATATACCAGCTCAAACATTAACTGATTATTTCACACTTTTTATTACAATGATAACGACGATTGTTTTGATTATTTTTTCCTCTCAGTCTAACAAGAAGTACCTATTTTGTTTTCTACAATACGTTTGGCTTGATACCCTAAAAGTTTTGAAAAAATATACCTCGAACAGTGAAAACATTTTACCGATTTTATCTTCAATAGGATCAAACCAAGATTTGCTACAATAATTACTCCTACTATTCTAACTGAGATGGTTCCCTCCTTCTGCGAGTGGAAGCGGCTAATAACAGGAAAAATATAATAAACATAAATGGTATAGTCATATTTGATACTATATACGCTTAGCTTAATATTTAGGGGTCTACTCAAGTGTTAAGTGCAAAGCTAGTAGTGACGACGTATGCGTGTGGAGAAGAAAACAGCCAAGAAAACGTAGTCCTTACTAGTAGAGAAACAAACACGAAGAAATCCTTTGGGCCGCATAGGCGTCCGTGCCAACGGCACAAAGATAACATTTCCGATATGTTATGGCCAGCCTCTTTCACCACGCGCTCAAGGTCTAGCGTAAACGGTTCGTTCGCATCATCGTTCAACCTCTCGCCAAACACTACAGATTCCATTTTATCCATGAACTTTTGAGCTTCGGTTCCCAGTATCTTATCTTTACGCAGCATGTTAAGATTACAGATGGTCACCGCTGGAAAGGTAATTTTCTCGTCACGTTGTTGTTCCTTCACCGTCACGGAATCGTGGTCCGCAAGCTTAGAGAAACCATATAGACATTGCATAATCAACATTGCAAGCCCAGTTACCAGTAATAAACCCCACACTATTCGTCGTATCAGCGAACAGGATCCGAGAATAAAATGGAATCCATGAAGTGTCGTGTACGAAGCAAACTCGTCGAGAAGCTCTGATGAAGCAACGATTCCACCTTCGTCTGCATGTTTTGTCTGTGGTTTTTCCTCGCCGCTTGCTTCCAGTCTAATATCTTCGAGTGCCATCATTTTTCTTGTTCTGTATGGAATTTTGTCAACTGTCTGGACCTTTGCGGAGAAGAGCAGTAAATTCACTATTTATTCAGATTAAAGTTAAAATGTCCGCCCTAAAAAGCTTCTTCAAAATGGCTGCTGTAAGGACTGTAAGGTGGGAAAAAGAAAATCACAGCAAATAAAAAACTACATATTCAAATTTTGTAGTCACTTTAAATTTCAATTACGCTTTAGGTAGACCCATGTAACGATATATTTTATTCAAAGTGACTGCTATTTTTAAGCCGCAAAACAATTAAACTGAAATGACAAAATGAACGAGTTTCTGTCAGTGGCAACGACAGTGGCCGGATTGGGCCAAAATCAGGAGAACTCGGTTTCTGTTAAGAATGTCATAATTTGTAATTTCAGTTTTTGAAAGAGAAAAGTCCCTTCAGCCAGAACACCCGTGGATAAATAAATATTTGAATTCCACAAAATTGGAATATATATTGACTACCTTAGGACTTTATCGGTTTTATCTACTTTTTTCCACATTAGAATATCGTACATAATCAAAACTATAACAAAATTCTCGAACGTGATTGGCTATCAGCAGCCCAATTTGAGCATTAATCGGACAGTGCACGCGTCATGCTTGTAATTGGACAGTACGCGTCATTTTGCGCGCGCTGTTGCGGTGCACTTTGTTGAGTAAACTGCTGTGTTTTTCAGCATACATAACGATGTTTAATCGTTGAGCGCTCAATCGATGGTTTGTTCGTTTCTCGAATTTTGTCATAGTTTTGATTAATTGGTAACAGAGCTTCGCGCCGTCCAATTCAGTCTGTAATCATACTCGTGATTAACAAATCGGACTCCCGCTTCGCGGTCGTTCGATTTTGTTTATCACTCGTATGATTACAGACCGAATTGGACTCCACTCAGTCCTATTACCATTATTTACAATGCCCGTCATTAGTCATTATTATTTACTCACCTGTACAGTTTTAAACGGACAAAGTAAACAAAATCTAGCAATCGCTTGCTCTTTTAATTTAAACGTTAACTGGCCGTTAGATGCTACAGCTAAGCTGTTATTCACCTCACTAAAAACTTGTAAATCTCTTCGTCCCTGCTGGGTTTTTCAGAAAAAGGTGTGCAACTTGCTCTTCGACAAAACGAAATATTTAGATATCTTTCAAGCAGGATGCTGAAAAATTTAAATTAATTAATTAATCGACTGGTACAAAGACACCGATCGCAAGTCTGTTTAAAACATGATGTATGTTAATACTACTTATGGGGATCGAAAAGGACACGATCTTTTTTTTGATGGGAACACAAATAATTTATTTTCATTTCGTTATCAAAAATACTAAGCCATGTCAGCAATGCACGACGTTACTTAAAGGCAAATTACATCGAAGAGGGAGTTTGTCGAAAATGATAACTGAAAATTGTTTATTTTGCCTACAAATTTAAAACAATTGACCCTCTAACAGAACATAGCAAATCTCTTTTAGCTGAATAATCTACTATTTCTTAACGGGCTTTCACACTGTATTTCTGTTTACTAAAACGAATCGCAGTTTCTGGGGTTGGCCAAGTTTGCATATAAGCCGTTCAGTCATCGTGCTCAATAAATTATTAAAGAGTTGTTCATTGCCAGATATTATGAAAAAGGCAAAGCATTGTGGCAATCAATTTTAAAATAATTTCTTTAGCCTCAATTCCGGTTTATTTAGTGTACTGTTTTAATGTATTTTCCTTACTTTTTGTTGTGTTCTTGATCGTACGTATTTCAATATGATGTAATTGAGTTTTCTACGTACATGTCTCTAATTCTAGTTGTCGATAAAAGTAACAAGAAACGGAACATCAAACCGTGCTTATGGCGAGCGCGCGCCTTAATTTAGTAGAAGTAAAAGCAAATTTAAAGTAAATTTCTTTCACTGAGGTACAATAATAATAAATTTTTATACACTGTAATTTGTCTATCGATAGTCGACCTCATCGCTAGATGAAGACTCCGGCTAACAGTATTCAGTCGGAACGTTGCGATCTATAAATCACAAGTGACCACATCGAGAGACAAGCGGCTATTGCGCTAAAATGTTGTAAAAAAATTACTTCACAAATACCTTAAAGACATATCAAATCGTTTTCACTTGCGTCCACTTGTGGGAAGACGACATGGCGGCTAAATTCTTTGCAGTTTTAAAGGCATTTTGTCAGTACAGTGAGGACAGCTGTCTGAACCACTCTCACGGTCTTTTCAGGTTTACTTTCCATAGCAACCATCTATCCTTTTTATCTTGCAAACAGAATCCCTGCATCGAATACCATTGATTTGTTTTCGAGGCTTAAGAATATCGGCAGAAGCAAGTTTTAATTTTAAAAATCATTTTGGTAGACGCGAATGGGTTACTTAGCAGGAAAGAAAACATTTAGCTGAAATTCAAATTGAAAACAACTTCTTGAGATTGAGATGTTAAATTTCAATTTTAATTAAAGAAAACAGATTTAAAATTTTCATAGCAAAAAATTGCGTGATTAAAAATTCATGTCAAAGTAAATATTCAAGCAAAACTACAACATAAAACTTGTCATGACCTCACCGCGTTTTAAATCTCACTGTCTTTCCTATCTCTGCATCCACTGAGCTCACACAAGCGGCATGGTTTACTGCTTATAACAACCAAGCCGTATGTTGAAAGACGACGAAACACAGGGCTTCATTTCCATTTTCATGGAACACAACAGATCCATGTAAATGGATATAAACGCTGTTAGTGTAGATCTGTAAGCGCTCTCTCATTAGGTGTGCTACTCACTATCAATTCTGTTGTCTGAGCCGGCTAACAGTGTGCGGTTGTCAACAAAATGGCGGCCGCTTCTCTGCGTTTTCGAAGTGTCTGTGAGGAGGATTTAGATAATTTAATAGTCAAGGCGATTCGAAAGAAGACAAAAGTTGCTACGAAAAATGGAATGAAGATTTTTCACGGTAAGAACAAGAGGGAATGAAATGCAAAGGCGCGCACATAGAAACCAACACAAGGCAGCGGATTGTCAATCATCTTTGATGCACCATGATCTTTATTGAGCAAACTCGTTCTGGATTTTCTCTCAGTCCAAGCAATTGCCATATAAAAACTCAATTAATACTCAATTAATATTTGCTGCGCAATAAACGTTCTCAGAAGTTATCGTTACTGACAATCGATCAAGTGTTTAGTATTGCTTAGATCATTTTTCTTAATCTTACCACAAGTGACACAAGGCAGTTGAAATCTTCTTCTTAACCCCGGTAGAAACTATGTTTTTCTGTCATGAAACTATTCTCGTATCATTACTTTCTCCAGCCCCCTGGGTGATTTACTGCGTAAAAGCCCACCATATATGGAAACAAAGTGCATTGTTTTCATAAACAATTTTACAGCAGCAGACAAAATCTCCCCGTGATCACGAAAGCTTTTTATGTTAGTTTCTGATGTAATTTGCATACGGTGTATTTTGGGCCATTTTTTCTTTGCGTGTAATCCTTGGTTTGCTCTGTGACCATAAACACGTTTATAGCTTGACAATACTCCTGGCTGGTTAATTTACTTTGTTACTGAATACAGTGGAATTCCGATTTCTCAAACCTCGCGATAACTCGAACCAAAAGTCGTTTCTCTTCCCTTAGTCGAACACTGTTATTATAATCCTGATTTCTCGAACTAGACACGTGACAGAAAAACATGTTCTAATTGGGCGCAAACATGACATGCTTGGTAACCAAACATTTCAGTGAAGTTTGAAGGGTGTTCGAGCAAGTTTTACCAAAATGGCAGAAAGAATGGATATCGATGACTTTTTCGAGGATATTGATCCAGACCTGCTAAAGTATGCTTCCGCTTTTCGTAAATGTGGGTTCTCATCAAGTGTTACCATGAAGTAGTGGCGCCAACAGGATTTCCAAAACTTAGAAGTTGAAGTTCCAGAAGGACATCGTCGGCTTATCGCGTAGCCGCCATCTGAATCACCTCATTTCTGAAATTCTTGGACAGGGGAATACCTGAAGTTTCGAAGATTTGAAAACATAACAACAAATTCGAAAACTTTCCAACCTTGGTGCGAAAGTTTGCTTAACGGCTGTAGAACTTCAAATGTTTGGTTACCAAGCATGTCATGTTTGCACCCAGTTAGAACATGTTTTTCTGTCACGTGTCTACGCTTAGATGAAAACGACGGTAATTGCTAAAACCACCTGACATGACTCGTAGTCACAAACTTTTTTTATGGTCACTTTATCATCTTTAAAAGTCTCAGTTTCAAGGCCGTGTCCTTAAAATTCATTTTAACACTCCGTGAAAGACTCCTTGAAAGTTTCCCTTTTAAACTCCTTAAAGAGGCTAACTTTTAAGACCCTGTAAAAAGTCCCACTTTTAAGGCACCTTAAAAAGTGTGTCTTTTAAGACTCCAGAAGTGTCCCACTCTAAAGAGTCCGTGCAGAAAAGTTTCCCTTAAAGACTCCTTAAAAGTCTCCCTTTTAAGATTTCAAAAAAGGCTCAATTTTAAGACTCCTTAAAAGTCTTTAAAGACCGCGAAAGTGGCTAAAAGTTCTTTTTAATAATTAGAAAATATAGTTTAAATAAAATTATAACAATATATATTCCTCTAGGCCATTAAGCAGAGACATGGACCGTGCAGAACCTGTGCAACGTTTTCAATCATTTTTGTCTGAGCGCAATCGAACTTAATCGAATGAATAAGTTCGAAAACCGAAATTCGCCGGCTACGATACGACGTGATTTGTTGCAGCCCGTTTGTTCAAATCGGAAATCATAGCTCATAGTTTTAGTTAACCTGAACAAAAGCTCTATTTTTCACATTACACGTGACAAGAAGAAGGGAGCTTATCTCAAGACATGACTTGCGTTTTACTCGTTCCGCAATAAGTTAATTTTCAGCCAGTAAACAAAACGAAAGTAGATTGCAAGATTGTTTCTTTCAAATCATCGCTTATCACTATTTAGATCGACAAACAATTACAAGAAACCAGACCTTACACCATGTAACCCAAATTCTGATTGGTTAATCGCCGGACTGATATACAGACGTACTTCCTGGTTAAAAGAACGGTTTTTTCAATGACGAGGAGTGTTTCGTGGCGAAAAAAAAAAACGGCTACTGATAAGGAGATTAAGCCAGATTTGGGTAGGCACCAAAGCACACAACTCACAAACAATGTGTGACGATGTGTCTCATCAACTAGATTTTGTTTGAGAATCATTTCTGCTAGGTTTCTAACTGATTTTGAGAGGTCGAATACCAAATATGAAAAAAGCCGAAAACTTTGTTAATTGCTTTCAGTGGCTAAAATCGAGCGAGAGCCAACACGACTTTTCGACAGTGTATTAAATAACTGAACCGTTTGAAGTGTTCAATAGCTTTCATTTGAATGGTGGTACAGGGCTGAGTTTCATCCACTGACTTGCAGACGAATCAAGTAGATTGGAAGTACTTAAATAAGTTCTAGTCAGAACAAATTTCAAAACTAGAAGCTGCGAGTGCTCCAGACCTTCCTCTTAATGGGAAACTCTGAATCAATCGGGACTATAAACGAGTGTTTTTGGAGCCGGTGATATTAGAGTTTAAGACTATTGCGTTCATATCGATGATAATAGTAATTAAATTAAGTCTTATTTTTAGCTCGATAATCATCAGTTTCAAAAGTTTCAAGGGGCGAGCCCTTTACTCTTTATTCAAACGCAAAGTCAATGGTGCAATTAAGTGAAATAACGTGGTAGCTGAATATCATTACACACAATCG